TAGTATGGGACATAGGTATTATAGTCAGTGCCGGCGCAAGGGGTGTGCAGATAGTGCAATCTCACAGGGCCTTGCACTGTTGGATCGGCTCTTGAGCCTCACAAATCATAGTGCCGGCACTAATTATAGTAGGTAGGTTACATTTGTGACTGTGTATTATAGTGACATATGACATAAATACTAAAATATACAATAATACTGGTAATAGTTTAAGTTTAGAATGTGAATCAGTGCAAAATATAGTTATCTTGTTTTGTTATTTTAATTTCTTAGAGTTAAGTTTTCATATGTCTATATATTTGGAAAAGATACGAAATTTAACCTCGAAATTGAATACATTTAATAAATGATCATTAATCATAATTTATTTAATTTGTTTTATTTTTATTTATTAGAATAAATATAAATAAATAAAAACATGTTACAAAAAAAATTATCCCTATTTTAGGACCGACTTCAATAAATTATTGCAACCTAAAATTTAATACAATACCATAATATATTATATTAGTATGAGGTACAATTGACTTTTTAGATTGGTAAATATTATATGTATTATGGATTATAATTATTATTTATTAATATAACATTATTATTTATTCTTAAATTAACATTATGTGGGTATGACTAAAAGCTATACAAATAAACAAATTATTTTGAATAATTATGAAATTAGCTTTATGTCTAACTTCATAATAAAAACTATATCATGGTTAAAAAAAGTATTTATGAAAATGAAGATGTTACCAACAATTGTATAATAATATAACCTATAACTAACATGATGTATCTTAAGTATGTTAGATTCTGTTTTAAAACTTTATTAGTCGGTTACATTGCCAAATTTTATATACAATTTTTAAAATAAAATAAATACACTATAGAAATAATTAGTAATAATTTGCTGCAAAAGAGTAGTAATTAATTAAAAAACAATTTGTATATTTTTCCTTGGTAAAGTTAGTTTGTAAGTTAGTAAGTTAAAAGTTAATTAAAATTATAAATTTAATATTTTAACATAATAATGTCCAATATCTATACAAGTTTATAATGGTAATTAGAATAAAAACAAATTGGAAACATAAAAAAACTCATATTAATTAAATTATAAGTAGGTAGTTCCTGAAATGGTACGCATTAATATTAATAGATTAAAATATAATCTTAAATTATGCTCCATCACTTCAAGGTCTTACTTTTCATGGCATAAATTTATTGAATTAAGGGATTGAAAGTGAAAATTTGCCATTTTTATTTGCTTACAAACAACAATATTGTTTATTATATATATGTTACCGGTATTATGGATAATTCAGGTATTTTGCAAAATGCCTGGGCATTATGCAAATTGCCGACCCATTTTGGGCAATGTAAATAAAACATATGATTTTCAATATTATTTTACATATAACCTAGGTATTTTATAAAATACCTAAGCATTATGTATAATGCCAATCGTGGAGTAGGCAATATGAAAAAAATAAACAAAATTGGGCATCGCCTATTACCAACGACTTTACTTAAATGCCAATATTTTTTTAGGCAAAGTACAAAAAATTTTATTATATGTTATATTACATTAAGATTCATATAATTGTTATACATTATTACTCATATTACAGAGAAAATTTAATTTTTATCTATTATTATATTATTAGGTACTACTATAAAAATATTTTACTTAAACTACTATTTACTTATTATAACATGTTGTAGAAAAATGACATTTTAAAATGCACAAAATGTTATTTTTAAGGCAAATACACTTTTTATTTTGACATGGACTTACAAACACATTTTAAATATCTTTGGCCAATTCTTGTGGATTGAATTATTAGCAACTCATACTGTTCATCAGACAAAAACTTGTATTAGTGACCAAATTTTTAAAAAAAATTTGTAGTTTGTTATAAGAATTTGATTTCATATAAATCGTTTGCATAGTTTCAACACCAAAACAAGACACGAAAATGACGAGAAAAGTTACGATATTGTTATACAATTATTAATATGTTCAATATTGTATCTCAGAATTATTATTATAGTAGTAAAAGAATATTAATCTTTATTGCGTTATATCGTGAATGCACATTTATGATAAACGATAAGTTAAGTCGTTGGTAATAGGTGATACCCAATTTTGTTTGTTTTTTTTTCATATTGCCTACCCCACAATTAAAGTTATACATAATATCTAGGCAAAGCTCGTGTTATGTATATTGCCAAGTGATTTTTGAAATTATATATAATACCTGGGCATTTTGCAAAATACCGGATTATTCATATTGCCAGTAACATATATACATATTATGTTAATTTAGAGGCATTTATTTTTAAAATCTAACTCAACCAATAGCAATATGATAAGAATAAAAAAATATATTTGATTTTTTTATAAATTTAATTTAAAGTTGACTATGCTTTCTTTTTTCATTAAGTCCCATTACAATTGATGATTAGTAAAATACAAAATGTGAAATATTTGTTAGTTATGATATACCTACTTAATTTTGAGAGTCAAAATTACTAATATTGAACAATCTTGAGTATACCTTGCAATTAATTTTAGTTTTTTTTTCAAAATTTATATTATTCCACGGTGTCACAATCTTAAGCTAGAAATAATATAAAAAAGACAGTATTGTACATTTGATAAACATATTAAAATACCATCTTCAGTCATTGTAAGAAAATTATTTTATAATTCAACTATTCAGTTAAATTATTAATAATTTATGGATTTTTCAAAATTAATATTTTTGAACCATATCGATTGAATAAAGTAATTTTAATATCAATACTCTTGTCAATTTTATTAACGAGTAAGATTCAGGAAAATATTTTATTAGTTTTATATTATAGGAATATTAGTAATAAGGATTTGAAAAAAAAAAATAAAAAAAATCTGGTTGAATTCGATAAAAGTGAAATGAACTCATTTTAAATTATATCAATTCATGTATTATAATGTTACGTTATAATAAATAATATTTCCTAGTAAACATAATAATAATAATAATAATAATAATTAAAATCATAATAATAAAATTAAAACCCACTAGAATGGGAAATTAGAAAGTCAATTATAAACACAACCCTAAACATCTATACAACAAGTCATCTATAATGGCAGAAATGGGCCTATTTATACTTTTGAGAACAAAAAAGATTTAAGATCATTATGATTAATAAATTTGGTATAAATATTTTCCTTTTAATTTTCAATGAAATATTATGTTAAGTACATTTTTTGTGTTAATCAGACAATAGTAATAATTTATAAGTTAAAAATTCTGGAATATATATTATTGGTAACAAAAAAAAAAAAATTATAATAATAATAATAATAAAAAAAAAAATAATAATAATACAAATAAAAATTATGGACGGCAAATCTGCGAATGTGAAGTCGTACAATATTTTGTAGTTAATTAAAATAGATAACCTTAATAATTATAAATGGACAAAATAATAATAACAATAATAAGTTAAGAGTTAACTAAATTGATAATTTTCACAAATAGACTATGAATAATTGGACGAATACGATTTAAAAATTTGTTTTAACTAATTAATAGCATAGAGTTTTTCAACAAGAGAAACAATGGAATATATTGTATTCTCCATGTTAACTATTGCTTGTCCATAGCTAATAAATAATATTATTTTATCTACAAAAAAAAAAAAAAGATTATACCTAACATACAATTAATTATGATCATATTTAATTACAGGAATGATTTTCATATGCTGAACATACAAAATATGTATGTTTACAAAACATACAAAAATGTAAGATTTAAGTACAATACTATATAACTTATAAATCATACATGAAAACATAAATATAATGTATAAAAAAAACGAATATAAAATTAATATAATGACCTACTTTGAGTAAGTACATAACATATGTTAGAGGAATAGGTTGAAAACAAATGGCACAAGGAGAGAAGGGAGGAGGAATAAAATTTAATAGTTTTTCATTTATCTTATAATTTTTTTTCTATCAATACAATACATAAATAAAATGAGTTGGGAGTACACACACAAATGCACGTTTACTAGGGTAGTTAGATAATAATAATGAATATATATAATATGCAAAATATTTTTGAGTACAAACATTGTTAATCCTATTGAGAAAAAAATGTTATTGTTAATTTTAGAACACATACACAGCATAAAACCTAATGTCTAATACAAATAAATGTTGTTAAAAAAAAATAAATAAAAAAAAAGCAATGTTTCTAAAAATTGCGCTATAATTAGGGGTTCTGTAGTAGAGAACTTGGGCAAAATTTGTTCATTTTTCTCTTACTGAAAGTATTATTTATTTTAACTGTTTGGTAGTTGTTCTGAAATAAACAAAAAACATTGTATTAAAGTTTATTTTATAAATAGATATTTTAATATTAATATGTATGAAATAAGTATATAAATAAGCATATGAGATATGTAATAACTCAATGTACCCAAATCAAATATGCAAATAGTATAAATGCATACAAATTTAAATGTACATGGGTATGGTAGATGGTAATAAGTATTTAAATGGTTTGGAGCTAGGTAGTTGCTTAAGCTTTTAGACTGCTTCAGTTAAAAATTGCAAATAAAATGTCTAACAGTTTTGATAAACTATTAGAATGACACCCGGTTAAATAACGGCAACAATATATAAATAAAGTATTGATATAATTTTTTTTTCTTATTAAATTGTATAACTATTGTTAGTACAATTAAATTAAATTTAAGTCAAAACATTATTTTAAAAATATTATAACCAAATCTTTAGATAATTATTTATTACATTTGAATTAATACAAATTTGATAATCTTCTTGTATTTTTTTTATGAAAATATATACAGGACTATAACTATTATACTATATTTAAAATATTAAAGAATAATTTAAAAATATTATTTTTAAAAGTTTTAATGGTACAACAAAAGAAATATTGTTTTTTATAAATATCAAACATTTTAAAATATTAAATTACCAGAGTGATGTAGTGTTATTTAAAATTCTAATGACTGATCTGCACTGCCTTCTACTTCTGAGTCTCCATCTTCATCATCCATGTCTGTATCACTGTCTAAAATACCATTGTCCAAAGATTTATCTTTTTGGTTGTCTTCCTTTCCGTACCATAAGGCTGCTATGGTAATATGGTGAATTATTAATAAGATTATGTTTGACCCGTTCATTTTTTACATGGGTTCAATTGATAACACTTACAGCAATTTGGTTTTCCTCTAACACGTGAGTTAGGTACTTCAACACCGTGTTTGTCAACACACCAACACATACCAACTGAAGAATGACACTGAGTATGCTCATAATATCCTTCAGCATCACAGGCAGGGATATACACACCTAGAAATAAACAAGTATCATATTTATTTTATTTTTTATACGTATAAATTATAAGTATAAACTTATAATATAAATACCCAAAATAATCATATAAATGATTTATTATGGATATTAGAGTACTTTTGAAAGATTATGTTTAATATCATAATTTATGTACCAAGAGCATTAGGTGATATTCTTCGCTTAATAGCTGTACATGGACGATCAGTTTTATCAAAGCATCGACACCATTCATAAGGATTCACAAAAATGTCACTAAAATAAAAAAAAATTTAAATTAATTTAAACTGTTTATGAATATTCATCAAATGTTAATGTATACCCATCAGTATCACATGTGTCCAAGAAAGGTTTAATGCACATTTCATTTTTATCATGTTCTAAGTCGTAAAGTTCTTGTAATGACAATTTACCGTCGGAATCTAAATCTAGATGTTGGTACATCCAACGAACTTCCCATTTGCAACCGTTGATGAATTTTACAGCTACACAATATTTGAAATTAGTTAAATAGAATGTAATAAATTAAGAGTGAAATACCTTTTCCCTTATTCTTTGTACGTCTACGTTTAGCATCAGCCATGATTACTGAAAACCAGTCTAACAGACGGTCACCCATAGATTGCAATGCAGATGGGGGACATTCTTTGTTCCAAGAAGGATGAGATATTTGATTGGTTGCGATTACTTCATTATCCATTTTTTCATGTCGTTTGTCTTTTACCGGTTCGATAATAGAATTCTATTGGTAAAATAAATACTTACAAATAAGTATAAGACATTCATTTTATAAAAATATTTCGTGTACAAACCTTGAATATCTGATTGTTATTTTTTATATATTTGATGTATTTGTAGTGTTTGTTCTCATACTTGAAGTCTTCAGGAGCAAAAATATACTTTTCTTCATACTTGGATACTGGAGCTATAGTGCTCTGTTTCAATTTTTCGTTTTCCAATGTTGCTTTATATTTGTTCATGAAGTTTGTCATACGTTCTGCTTGTTTTTGTTTCTTACGTTCGACATCTTCTTGTTCTGTAAAATACAATATTGGCTTTAAATAATAACATTAAAAAAAAACGTATCGTGAATAACGTTGTGATTATAGTTAGACAACATACCTTTGCACGGACAAAATCCTTTGCAATTCACTTTTATGTTAGTTGTATGAAGACAATTATGATAATCTAGACGGCACAATGAACTGTACGTACGATTGTCAGAACCACACAGGAAGGTAGGTTTCATAACAGGGCACGGATTGCATCTACTGTAAGTTCATATTGAATTAATAACAAATACCTTAAAAGTAAGTTGGTATTATTTACAATTTTAAAGTAAAAGTTAAACCACATTGTATATAAGTGATCACTACTGATAATATCAAGTATTTTTACTAAGTATATCCTAATTCAAATATGGTATTAAATACATTAAACTGAAAATACATAATTTAATTAATATTCTATCAACGAAGTAATAAAACAAATACAAATTTACTAGAACGTTTAATATGCAATTACCTATTTTGTTTTTTACAAATTATTTAAAAACAGTTGTTTTTTAACAATATTTTATTTTCTAATAAAATCTGAAGTACGCGAAAAAAAATCGACATTAAAATTATAAAAAAGTAGTAGATATGACACTGTCCCAAAAAAATTAATATTTTGATAAAAAATACACAGATATAAAACGAATAATTTTCTTAAATAATACAATTTTATGATATTTTAAATTACATAAAATCAGTCCATAACACATAACATAATTGTCAATTTAATTTAATAATTCAAGTAAATTGAATTTAATGTCATTGAACATTTAAATTGACAAACGTAATAAAAGTTTTAAAAAGGATTAAGTAAAGAGCAATTAAAATTTTTTTAAATCTATAAAAATTATATCAGCCGTTTACTACTTCATTAAAAATGTTATAGTTATTGAGATGATTAAACTTTAATTAAATTGTCCTAGGAAGAACTATTTGCGTTATGTATTGTGACAATTTGGGGTTTTTATCAATAATAAATATAAATTGATGCCCGTAAGGTCGTAAATACATTAAAGACAGTTAGCAGTAGCAAATAATGATTGGGAGGGGTTTTTTTTATAAATAAACAAATTTGTCAACTACTTTCTTAAACAAAATCTTACAATGCTATTATTACTTCATTTGTTGATGATTGCTAATTATATAAATAGGTCATTCATAGGTGAGGTAGTAGCCCCCCTCGCAACGCCAGCTCTGAAGACAGTTCATTATATTCAGTACTGAACTTATATTATTATTATTATTATTTTCTCTTTTTTTTATTAAAGTTTTTAAACAGTTAATAAATATGATGCATATATAATATATTCGTCAATGTATACTGTTAATTATTTATAAAACAATTTAACATATCATATCATAACATTATCATAAATAAATAAAAAAAAAAAATTAAGCATAGAAAAATATTAAAACTTAATGAAATTGAGGTTGACATAAGAATAAGGTATCTTATACATAAGAGATCAGCTCGTGTGAAAACGGAATACCCCATAAAATTGGAAGGGAAGACAAAGAAAAAGCAGAATAAGAATTAAAAAAAAAAAAAAATCATTAATGCATAAAATACAAATTAATTTTATGATTAATGATTTTTACATTAAAAAATGAAAAAAACGGTTTAAAATAAATATGAATACGTATGAATTTAAAAACACTAATTTAAATTTCCTAAATTGCATATTGATATTCACAATTATAAATCACTTTTTATTACATTATACATATTTATTCTTTCATTTATACTTTATGGTTACAATAAAGTCCCAACATTTATTTTCTTGGATCATAAAATATAATTTTTTAAGTATATTCATTTTTTAATCACCCGCAATTCTGAAATATACAACATTTTAATCTTATATAATGCATTTTTTTACAATGATTTTTCTTAAACGTAGAAATATATTCCTGTACTATTTACTGTCAAACAATTATGTACCTCATTGCAATAATATTAATATATTTTTAATTTCATTATAAAAACATTAATACTAAATTGTTGAACTTTTAATTTTTGTCGAAACGTTCAAAATGTATAATATTATTATTATTCATGATGTAAAAATTGTTTCAAACTTTTATACGATTTTTTAAACTGAGTTCATATTTAAAATTCTTTGTGAAACTAAAGAAAAATATAAGCCCCATATATATGAATCAAACTCGTATGAAACATATCCTAAAATAAAAAATATTTTCTCCGTAATAAAAATAAAATATCTAAAAAAATATAATAGAACTAAGGTAAATCATCCGAACATCAAATCTTTAGGCTACACCCAATAATAGCTCAAGACAGATTAAATACCACTACATTATTATTCTGAATGTATTTTACATCATTCCAAGTATGTTATAAAAAACTGGTGCGAACGAATTATAAACCAACTGTGTACCGGGTTGTGTAACAATTGTCATTTTTAATATAATACATTATATTTTTTTTTAAACGGTTTGTTCAAAAAAACTTTATTATAAAAATGCGAATATCACTGTTTAAAATTACAAAAACAAATGTTATTAAAATATCTTTGTCAAAAACGTTAAGCTATTATTAAAAAGTTAAAAATATTTTACAAACAAAATAGTTTGAATTTCATTGTTGGAAGGGTTGATAACTTTTTATTAATACATTTCGGGAATAATTAAATACCAGTAAAGAAATATACACTTAATATGAGTTCGTAATTTTATACGTAATTGTATTGTTTTAACGTATTAATACATAGTTTGTAAAAATTAAAATAAACATGAGTTTTTTTCATATTTAGTGTTAAATTTATAACGATGATAACGAATAACGAAGGAATAATATTTGTATGGACCGTGGGTTATCAATCATTTGATTTATTTGAAACGTAATATTATAAGGCTTAGAAAAGACAAGAAAAAAAAAATGAAATATTTTTAGATTATTTACACAGGGAAAATATTTTATTCGGAAAAAATACTGTCATAATGTACATATGGTTCATATATTCATGTAATGTTTACACGAGAAATTTATGAAATTATTCAAAGTAGGATGAATCCAATGTAAAATGATTACCCCACAAGTTTTCACTAGAATACATTTTGTGAGGTGAACATTATATGCAAGTTCCTATATATGGTTATTCGTATAAATATGCCTGCTATTTGACTATTTATGTTAACATTAAATTATATACATATTTTTAAGACATACAATCGAGATACCTTTATGGTTTATTTTTAAGAAACGTTAAAAATATTTTTTCTCCTCTATTTGTACAGGTATTTTTTTAAAACAAATAGGATTTTGGGTGAATAAATGTAATCAAAATAATTTTAAACAAAATACGAGTAGTAAAAAAGCAAACTAAACAGCCAGTAAAAATTATTATGCATGAATATTGATTATAAGAAACGAAAAAAATATTTATTTTTGATATTAATCGTTTAAATTAAATAAGAGTATTGTGGTAGAGTAATATTTTAATTAGAACATATTTATAATTGCAAAATAAAAATTAATTTAAAATAGAATTTCAACTAATTTAAAAGTTAAAGAATTTAAAATTGATTGTTCATAAATGTTCTTATGAAATCTTCACACAAAAATACAATAAACCCCAGATTTCCGAATGATATCGAACAACGATGCTCAATATCATAATAACATGTGCTTCTATCATATTTAGAAAAAAATATACTCTAATTAAATATTTCATGTTCTATATTTGTAAATAAGTACGTCAGAGCGTGTTAGCTGGAAACAAGTTTTATATCAACTATTGTTGATGTACAGAAAGTTGTTGGATATATCCACAGTCAAATTTTATTGAAAAGTATAATATGATATTTTTATAGTCAGTTTTATACCTCATAAAAATTAATAATAACATCATGTGCAATTTACGTAATTTAATATAAAATAGATATGATTTATCAAGAAAATTATTAAATTTCCAATTTTACATTGATTTTTATTTTCTATTTTTAATTTTCTCATATTAACACATTCATTAATTGTAAAGTGATTACAAATTGATGTATACTAAAAGATCTTAACTAACAATTTGTAGATAATATTTAGAGCAAATCAAGTATTTTAGAAAATTCATATTTCGACTTTTTGAATTCTAGTAGATGAAGAAAAAGTTCGAAATGGCCGGTATTTTATTATATAAGCTATATATTTTTATCTATATCATTTTGAAAGTTATTAAAACCATGAAAATTTAAAAACGGTTTTCAGTGAAAGTCTAGTTAGATCTTTACACAACATATCTACTCGAAAAAATAATTAAAGTCAAATCTTTTGAAATTTTTGATACTAAGTAAAATTCACGCCATATATTTCACTTATATGGAATTTCCAGACCGTGAAACACAATTACTTATTTTATTAAAATAAATGTATATATATATATGTATACATTAAAAGCTCAGTGGAAAAAAATTAAATATTCTAGCCGAAAAAAAATGTAGTTTCTCGCAAAATAATTGATGCTCAATTCATAACATAATGAGATTTTTGAAATGGAATTTTGTTCTAATATTAGAAAAACATATATACAGATATACGTCAATTTTCATGAAAATTATCAGGTAAGTCGAATTTTAATCTTTGAAAATGTTTTTAAGGAATTCGACAAAGCTATGTTAAATGTTATGAAATTATAGTATAAGATTTTTTGGCTCAAGATTAACTTTGATTAAATTTTTGAGCCAAGAAAATTAGTAATTTTACAAAAAGAAACACTTAGTGGTCGACAATTACATTATTAATTGAATATATATATATATATATTTTGTGTCACATTTTGAGTAACAATCATGTTAGATCAATTCATTGTTTATACTTATAACGATGGCCAATGTTCAGAATTGCATTTTGAATTATTTAAAATTCATATAAATTTAAATAGTAATACAAAATTTTAAAAATAGAAGATAAAATACAGAAATTTGGTATTTTTTTTGGTTATTTTTCTTAATTCTTTTTATTTATCTGTAAAACTATATGCTTTTAATTGATTACAATTTCTCATACAAAGCTACAACAATTTAGAAACAACTTAATTTTGATACTAATCGAAAAGTATGATATTAATTTTAAATCAAAAAGTTTCTTCAATATATTGATAAAAATAAATAGCAATGAAAATAATATTAAAGAAAAAAATATTACAGAATAACAACTCTATGAAACATAACTTTTCCCTTTTTTTTCTTAATTAAACAAAAGAATTTGTTTAGATCACTTTTCCACAAAATAATTTATACATGAATAATTTTTATATTTTATTTAATTATTTTAAATATGAAGCCATCAGTAGAAATATAATTTTTTTTATTACTTAATATTAAGGGAAAAATGATTAATATAATATTCAGGTACATTAACATATTAAAATATTATATAATTAAATACATTACATGATTATATTATACATGGTCATATTAGTGAGGAATGAATTGCGTGACAATAATGCTTGTAAGTAAAATATTTTATCTTATCTCTGGTATATTCAATTTAAATTCCTAAGTACACTAATTTGTACATTAAAACATTTGTGTGGTAGCGTAAGTTTTTACTCGAATATTAAATATTATTAATCTCACTTTAATAAGAAAACAAATATATAAATATATAATACCATTTATTTTAGAACATACTAAAATACATTCTAAAATCAATGATAATACGTATAGTATTAATTAATTAATTATGTAATATCGTTATAATATTACCATATTTTAAAATAAATATTTGTTTGGTTCCAAATCTTAACTCTACTATTAATACATTTCAATTATATAATTTTTTTTTATTTTTTAGAGAAATTAAAATTTATTTTTTAAAAAAAATTGAAAATATACTTTTCTCTCCAATTTTATCTAGTGTTTTTAAACTGTAATGAAATATATTTTGATTTAACATATGCATTTTTTTCACAACATTATAACCGAATTTTGGAGTATTGTAGGATATTTGATATTATTTTTATTTAAAAAAACATTTATTAGTATAAGCTAAACATAAAATGTATAATTTTAAGTTAATAAAAAATTATTTTTTGAACTCATAAATTTGGAACAATAATGATAATTAATTTAATTATTATCAACTTGAGATGGTATATGTATTATGCAGACATTAGTTTAAGAGCCAAAATCGTTTTTTAAATTAACCAACATTCTTCGAAGAAAATATTATATTTAAGAATTAAAAATAAAAAACTTATTCTGATGCTATTGTCTTATCAGATGTAATTATATATAAAAAATTAGTTCTACCGTGATACTGTTATTTATTGAATCAGGTATTAAATAAATAAATTTACTTGTTTGTTGACAATGAACTGCTAATTCCGCTGTCATAGAATATATCATCATCATCTTCGTCATCTTCTTCGATGTCATCATCATCGTCTTCATCATTTTCATCTTCGGCTAGGGCTTCTTCGAGAGCCTTCTTTCGAGCTGCTTCCTCCGCAATAAATTTCTCTCGGCTAATGATAACATCACCGTTCTTATGAATTTCTTTTTTACTCACACATACTGCTGTGTACGCATCTTCTAGTAGACACAACTCTTTTTTCTTGCACCGTAGAGGTGTGCAAAGGTCACCTGGAATCAAAAAAAAATGTTGAAGGACAAATTTCTATTAGAAATTTAATTAAAATATGTACATTTTTTCTTTAAGCAGACAGACCGTTATGAATTTTAATCATTTTTTGTCAAATTAAATAAAAAATGATGACCTTTTAAGACATTTTTTAAAAACCAAAGAACCTACTATCCTTGCAATTGGTATAAGCTTTCTCGCTCAATGACATTTTGTCAATTTAAATCTGCTGGATTCGAGCCAATGCGCAATAAACTTCAGGCATAATATGGTAGTAAATAAATTCTGTACAAACTATAAAGAAGTGAACAAGTAGATTTATTTTTAACGATTGGACATAACATTTTTTAAATTAATATGATAAATGTTCTTAAAATGTTGCTTATTTTAATTAGTATAAATTCTTTACAAAGTACTATATGGATTATAAAATTAAAATATTTAAAGCGCATTAATTCAAAAAAATTGTTTGTTTCCAAAACATAATATTCAATAATACAAACATTATAAACGTAATATTAAATTATTATTTAAGAGTATACTCATATACGGAATGCTATTATGAAAAGAATATAAAATAATATTTTCTTTCTTTTTTTTTAATAAATTTCACTATTATTTAATACCAAAGTTGGAAATAAAAATTAACTTTCATAGTAACATTAATAACATATATTTCTATATGTTTAAAGATATAGTAAATGTAATTGGTAGTAAATTACAACCTATAATAACAATAACAAATGTCTTATGTATAATTAATAAAATAAATACTATAATTGTATTGCAAGGTTCTACTTATTGAAGGAACTAGGAATTCATTGAAGTCGTTATAATTTTATTAAACAAACTAAAATAGTTAATAAACATAAATAAAGTTTCATAAAATTAATTATAGTTGCGAAATAATTCTCTAGTAAATATTTTTCCTATTTCAAAATTATGAACACTAAATAAATCATAATAATGTACGTTTAAATAAAGAGATTAGAGATAGAACATTTATAATGCTACAATTTTTTAATTCTTAATTTATCATATATTTTCACAAAAGTAAAAATATTTTAGGAAAAAATAAATGAAATTGGGTATAATTTCTATGTAAATTAGTTTCAGTAAATTGCACGGAAATTTACATTTCTATAACGAAATGGGAACAACATATGTATTTTGATATTTCCGAAGTATTGTCTGCACCACTTCGTATAGTCGAGTTCCCTTAAAACAAACACGAACTTGGTCGATACCTGACAAACTGATGGTACAAATATTTTCGGTACCTACACTAACCTCCTTAACCTGTCAAATATGGAAGACATATTAGAACCGCGCCCATTTTTATAAAAATAATACTTCAAAAAAAAAGTATGAAATATGTACCGATAAATCACCACACCCTTAATGACATACACACAAATTCGATACCGAGAAGACTTTTAAGTTATGAAGACGTACAACGATTTCAATTTTATGAAATGCTCTACCAGTTTTAATTCTTTAGCGCAAGGAGAATGCATAAACTTAATTTATGCGTACAATCGCAAGATCTTTTATTACACTAAATATATTATTTCTGAAACAAATGTAATACTTCTCTCGTCGGCTATCACAATACTATTCAAATGTAAATCCAAAAATGTTTGATGACGTTTATTGTCATATGCAGGACTATATATTCAATAACTGAGTAAATATAATAATTGTAAATTTAAGATAATAATTAAGATTATTACTTACTATTTGGATCATGAATCCATCTCTTTTTCTCTCCAAACTTTCCAATATCATTTGGCTTTGAGTTTTCCTGAAAAATAAATATAGTATTAAAAATGATTAGATTATGTAAATAATAGTAATAATAATAATAGTGTCTTATTTGTATTATAGTAATTCAAAATTCTAATAGATCATTATAATTAAGATTTCAACATTTAAAAAAAAATGTGTAATCCACAGACTTTTTATTTAACAAGTATTCTTTCAATTATATTTTACAATAAATATTCTTTTTATCTCACTGCCTTTCATTTTTTATTTATACGACTGAATATCCTCAAAAAAGCATTTTTTTTTTTTTAAATATGATCCTATCAGCCAAGGATTCAAGAAGTATTTTTTTAATACCAAAAAGATTCTAAGGTAGATTTTTTATTTACATTTTTTATTATTTTACCTGGCTTACATTATTTTGATAAATTTCAGTTATGTATCATATATAATATTATGTTTATTTCGTTATCTTTACAAATGAAGTATAAATATTGAATTCAAGAATGCTTATTTTTTTTATTTTCATAATGAAAATTAACTAAAATAACTATATATGATATCAATATTATAATACAGTTAAAAGTTAATAACAGATATTTATTATAAATTTAACTCTAATTACCGTTTTAGATTAAAAATGTTACCGTTATGATAGAATCAAATAAAGTATCAATTGGTACAAATATATAACTAGAATACAGTAGTATATTGATAATTATAACCGTTTATCTGCACCCATATTTAAGGATTATCATAAATTGTTAACTATTGTAATTATATTCGATTAAATTTAAAAATATATTTATTTAAGGTTAAAGAACAATCTACGAAGAATACAATTTTTCAACGTTCTAATGTATAAAAATTAACCAAAATAAGTAAAAATATTCATAGGAAACAATAATTAATAATATATAAGAAATAACATTGATATCAAAGACACTATTTCATACACTCACATTATAGCTTAGAATATTAGGATAGTGTCACATGATTTATAAAGAATAGATAAAAATTTACAATGATTGTACTTTCTATTCAACACGTAATCTATGTTTTTATAATCTATGCCAACACGGCCATAATTTTAAAACTAATCCATCTATCGATAAGAAACTAATTTAAACTGAAATTATTATTGTCATTTAAATATGTATATTTTTAATATTACGTTAGATATAATACAATTATTAAGATGAAATCATATTAACGTATACAATTATCCGGGTTGAAACGTATAAAAATATATAAAATAAAACACTTATTATACATAAGTATAAAACGTAAGAAAAGTATAGAATAACACCTAATTATATAAGTTTTATACTGTACAAAAATAAAATACCTTATAAGCAAAAATATATTTATTATTTAAACTAACAATAAAAAAGAGGAAATATAAATTTTATTGTGATGTTATTAATCTAATAATTAAATAATAATATTAATAATAATAAATTGATAATTATCATTATATTTTAGCGGATGTATAATTTTTAGTACATTCATTGTACTTGTGATATTTATAACACTTTTAATAATTTTTGCGATATTTAAATTATATCTTAGAGTATGAGTATATTATGGGTAAATACAATTACAGGCAATAATATTTTTTTATAATCTACAACATACATTATTTTTTACTACCTAATATATTTTTATTAGGTAAGCATAAAAATTAAAAACCTTACTTAATATCCGAAAAATTAAGTATTTTGAATTTTTTAAAAGTGTTTCAAAACCAAAATATATTATACGTTTTAGTCATTTTATACATTTTATACGCGTATATTATAAATCCTGCATTATATTAGCACACTAACGAAAATTCAGGAATATAATAAATAAAATAGCTGATGAAGAGGAAATCCTCAGTGTTGGTGAATTTATTCCTGAGAATTTATTTATGTATTAATTGATTCTCGAGTTAATTTAAGACAGGTATGAATTAATTCCCAAATATGTATATGCACATTATAGAAAGTATGTATTGTATACATTATTTTATGTTGTACATAAATTATTATACATAGTATACATACATATAATTCGGTGCGCAATGGTGTTGTGATTTTATCAGGTAAAAAGGGATCGGGGCGCAATCGTGTTGCAAATTTTTTGCGCAATCGTGTTGCACCGCAAATATGAACAATTTCGGCCTATTAGCGTACCCTGCAGAAGACACCACGAGGAGATTGAATAGAAGAAGGCTCGATGTATATTATGTCACATAAGAGTTAAGTCATTATTTGTTATAGTATTTAAATCTTCATTTTTCAACTCTTTGCAAATTAATTTCGAAATAATGTTTTGTAAAAATATCTTCTACAGCTTTCCTCTTTAAACAATTAATCAAAATTTACCCTTTAATAGTACTTCCTTCAATTTTGTCATGGTAATGATTCGTGTTGTTTTTTAGAATTTTATTATTAGAATTGAGTTTTAAATAACACTTAAAGCTACCCTTACCACAAATCCAACGTTGGATATCATTCGATAGCATTTTACGAAAACAATACTTTTACCTATCTATCAATATTAATGATTTAGACTTTTCGCTTAATATAAACTCCATATTTATTCAGAAATTGACACCACGAAATTATGATGAACTTACAACGACTGTAGTAGTACTGGAGATCGCGTATACAATTCGAGAATTTTCGACTGCAAAAACTGCTGTTTAAAATTAATTTTCATAAACTCATAAACGATGAAATTCGATACAACACCGGTTTTTTTTCGTTACTGATATGCAACTATATAATAACTAAGGGAATCAACTCGTACATAATTTTTAATTCACGGAATCAATTCATCGGTATCGATACAGGTGAACAAGTACCTGAAAATCAACTCATACGTAGCCGGAATTTTGTTTTCTAACACACGTGATTGATTTTAAACCAACTCTACGGTCATATTTAAATGACCGATATTTTTTAATTATAATAATGATATACATGTTATTTTTCTTACTTTTGTACTTTGATTAACAGTTGTACATAAAAGTACAAATTAAGCATCATATTATGAATCAAGGTAGTAATTAAAGTAGTAATATGAGTTTGTGAAAATTACTTGAATTTACTTTTTCAATGAAATAATGACTAACCGATAAGCTAGAAACTAAAAATTGTTCGCATATTGTTACTCTATTACTTATACGATTTAATATTCAAATTGAAGCAAAGACGTGAAAGTTTCAAGGTACGATCACATACATCAGTGTAAAGTTGTAAGTATGTGTAATCCATCAAGCACATGAATTCTAATCGTACGCAAGAAAATAATTTAACTGTAATATAGTAGCTCTTATCCAGACATGACACGCTACGAAAACGGCAAATTTGCACTGTTCACGTTATATAATATAGTCGATAATTTCTATCAAGCTTAACAGTGTCTAACATAGTGTTCCAAATCATGGACGAAAGCTTCGGTTTAAGTATCACGATAATTTTTCGCAGTGTTGATCATGCGTGCAGGGGAGGGTTACATTTGCATACATTACAAACGCTCACGTTCGTTCGCAAGTACACACACAGAAATACTTGCAAGCGAACGGGTATTGAAGACAACACATATCGAATGTGACGTTTAATTTCACGTATAAACTTAAACACATACGCTACTTGTAGGAAGAGGAAGGTTAGCTTTTTACTTTTTTTATTTTTTACTGTCGTTGTAATATTTTATAAATTATTAAATCATCGTCCGAGAGTTTACGAGGAATTTTTTTTTATTATTCTCGCGTGCCACATCACAATAACGCGACACTCGACGGCCGTACCTATAATGAGGCGTACAATACGTACATTATACGTGTACGAGAATTTATAATTATATTATCGGCGTGAAAAAAAACGTAATTTGTTGTTGCACTGGCCGAGGGGTAAATCGTGCAAAAGTAAAAGCGAAGAATGGGTGATGATTCGAAATATGTGTATGGGCGCTGCGCGTGTGTGTAATTGCGTGTAAACGGGTGAGAACGCGCGCGCGCACGTGTGTATGTGTGTGTGTGTGTGTGTGTGTGTGTGTGTGTGTGTGTGTGTGTGTGTGTGTGTGTGTGTGTACAGAAGGGGTATACGGAAGGAGAAGTGGAAGAGCGGCCGAGGTGCTAGCGGTGGTGTCCCGAACCGCCACTACCATCGGCGGCGGCGGCAATCCATGTTGGCGGTGTATTGATTTTTATACGACTTGGCCGCCGTTGCTCTTCCGCGATACCGCGCTCGTCACCACCGCCCACGCGATACCGTACCGATGCAACGCCACTGATACCGTTTCGCATAGCGCCTAGCACACACATACTTGCATGCACGCAAATTTACCACGTTCGATTGGCGTTCGATTGGCCTTCGAGCACCACGTTTAACCCCTCTCTTAACAACCCCTCTTCGAAGGGTTTGACGTGCCTGTACGCGGAAATCAACATTATCGACATCCATTATGGATGACGACACGACCGATGGAAAAATTAAATTTTCTCACACGCACGGTGAGCAGGCACACGTCACATATCAAACGGAATCTGTGCGATTGAGTCGGTTAGAGACCGGTCGTCGACTGATCGCAATCGACCGAATTCGTTTCAGACTCCTTAACGATCGGTTTAACCTTCCCGGCCCTACTGAGCACACATCGCGAGCACTCCGAAATAAATCGAATTTGCATAATTGAATGGGCCACGAGCAGCCGCGCGATACCTCCGAAAACAATATTGTATACACATTATATTCATAAACTTTGAGATATGCTGAACGTATAAAAACCGTATTGCACGCATACATGTCATTTTAAAACCAAAGTTTAAATATAACATTCAGAATGTGCAGCGTTTTGAATTTTTACCTTTGTGTAAAGTCACATCGTACACAGGCTTTGAGTATTTCAAACGTTTAACAATCATATCGTAACAATATTACGTTCAATATGATATTATTTGATACTTTAACCAGAAAAACATAAAAACTATCTCTATCGTAACACGGAAATGACTGGGAAGTATAAATATCGTCTTTAACAAGTTAG